AGCATAGCAGAGTAGAATGCTGCTGGGTTCTGCATCAGCCTCATAACTGGGTTGCAAACCTGGGCCTCCCACATGGAAGGTGAGAATTCTCCCAATGAACCACCATTGTCCCGATGTGAATCTCCATCTTGCTTACTCTGAGCCACACTGTGCATTGCAGTGCCACAGAGATGAAGTTGGCTAGCTGTTTTCTGTCTTTCCAGGTCCCATTTCCTGTTTTGGCCCCACCCAGCAGCTGCCTTCCTTCTGTCCTTGGGCACGTGTCTCATTTCACAAATGGTGTGAAAGGAGGGAAGAAAATTTAAAATCAGGGTCCAAGATAAAAGAATGTATAATCCAGGCCACTTTATTTACTTTTCACTCAGCAGCTCCCACAAGATGACAGAGATGCTGACACTCACCCTGTTATTTAGGGCTTCCAGCTGGTGATCCTTTTCTTTGTTCTGACTTTTTAATTGATTCACCTCCTGTTTTAGTTGCTGGACTTGCTCATTCCTTGCTAACATGTCTTTTTGCAAAGATGACACCATGCCTGTAGAAAAAGACTTACAGCGGTCAACATGCAGTGGGATTATTGCCATCACTACCACCTGCCAGCCAACTAGTGATGAGCTCTTTCCATGGCCAGTGCTCTGCCTGGTGTGCAGGAGGTTATCCCCAAGGGACTCAGGAGTCACAGTGGGGATGAAACCCATATCTACAGAACACCTTGTGTTGAAGGTCTCTGGAAAATAAGGACCAATCAAAAAGTGTTGCCAGGGACAGGATATGTCTTTAGACCCTTCCTGTCCCTGTCCTCAATTTGACCTCCAGACAGCCTCAGGCATCCGCCAGGGCTGTTTTTCCAAGCAGGACCAAAACTGACACTAATTGTCTTGAATACAATGAGGTTCATCATATCAGATAAAATACCCCCACCCCAAAAACTAAAAGATACTTATTGAAATGCAAGGGGCCTAGTTTATATCAGTTTGTCATTTAGGGCCCCCTGCCAAACTTCTTATACCCCTTTAAAGAGAGAGTTTTGCTACAAAAATGAGGTGGAAGGCTCCAAGCTAGCAGCTTGTTCTTGTTGTGTGCCATCGAGTCAGACCCGACTCATAGCGACCCATCCTTGGGTTGCTGAGGCAGTATCACTAAGGAAGCAGAGTGACCCATCTTCCTTCCGAGGAGTGGCTTTTGTTTAAAGGTTCTGTCTTTTGTTATTTGAATTCAACAGTGGGTATAGGCCCTGCAGAGCTAAGAGGAGAAGCAGCGGCATGGGCCTGGGAACAAAGGCCCAGTAGACAGAAGGACCAGGAGGTCTCCTCCAGAGGTCAAGTGATGGGCTTGCAGCAGAAGAAGGCATGTTGGAGGCTGTCGGTGGGGCCGATGGAGTCATCCTCCTCTGAACCTCTACCAGTTGTTAGTTAGCTCAGAGGTCTCAGGCAAGTTACTTAACCTTCCACCATTGGGCTATCTATCCTAAGAGTTAAATAGATGTGATGTATAAAGAACGTAGTAAAATGGCTAACACGTCGTGTGTTTGCTACGTGCTACCTATTATTATTTGTAGTAGCCAGCTTCTAAAATGGTTCCAATGATCTTTATCTCCTGGTATCCACACCCTTGTGTAGTCTTCCTCCATACTGAATAGCTGACCTATGTAACCAATATGATGTTGCAAAAGTGATAGTGTGTCACTTCCAAGGTTAGGTTATAAAAGATATTGTAGCTCTTCTTCTTTCTCCCTTGGACCTTTTTTCACTTGGGGGACATCAGCTGCCATGTTATGAGGACACTCAAGCAGCCCTATGGAGAGGGCTATGGTATTGTAAACCTACGCTATTGTAAACCATTGCAATTTGAGGATTATTTGTTATAGCAGCATAACCGAGTGCAGTACTTCCCAAACTTGAATATGCATGTGAAATACCTAGAGATCTTGTTACAGTGAAGATTCTGGTGAGAAACTATGTACCAACAATCAGCAAGGAACTGAGGCCTCCAGCCAACAGCCAAGTAAACAAGCTCCCTGAAAACAAAACTTCTAGCTCTCTCATCAAGGCTTTAGATGATGACACATCCAGCCAGCATCTTGACTACAGTGCATAAGAGGCCTCAAGCCATCCAGCTTAATCACTCCCAAATTCCTGACCCACAGAAAATGGCTGAGATAATAAATGTTTATTGTTTTAAGCAAATAAACGTTGGGATAAGTTGTTACATAGCCATAGGTAATTAACACATTGCTGTGCAGTAACTTGCTTGGTATGGCTCTTCCAGCCATGATCTTTGTGATTCCCACCACATGATTGGGTGCGACTATGCAAATGTGGGGAGCTCTGGTGGCATAGTGCCTAAAGCACTTGACTGCTAACCAGAATGCTGGTGGTTCAAACCCACCAGCCACTCCTCAGAAGGAAGGCTGGGCAATCTACTTCCGTAGGGATACTGCCTTGGAAATCCAAGGAGGGGTCGCTATGAGTCGGGTCTGACTCGACGGCACACAACAACAAGCAAATGTGAGGCACTTATGGCCCACCAAGGGGATTGGATAGCTTGTTAATAATGTAAATAAGGTGTGTGGCACCCTTGTGTGAGTGGGACCATGCAAGTAAGGTATATAGAATCCTAACATGGGATTGGTCAGTTTTGCCATCCCACTAGGCTTAAAATGAGCCATTCAAGAGGTAGAAAGGGGCGATCTCACTGCATCAAGAGAGACGAGCTGGGAGTGGAGCACATCCTTTGGACCCAAGATCCCTGGGCTGAACCTCCTCTACCGAGGAGACAGAGAGAAAGCTGTAACACTTCGTTTGTAGAGATGGTGACAGACGGTGAGAAGTAGTGGCAGAGAAATGGTGGAGGGAGAGGCAGCAGAACCAAAAAACCAGTATGAGACAGAGCGGTGGGCTTCCTGGCTCACGGAGCAAGAAAGCTGAGTGCCTTCGGGCAGGAGCCTTGCTGGTGGAGCGGGGTACATCTCTGGGCATCTATTGTCTCAGCTAAAAGAGCTTTGTAACACTTTCCCAAGCAGGGCAGAGCCAGGCTAAGGGGCTGAGGGCCAGAGATAGAACTGCTTCAGGCATGGCTAAGGGGAGCCTCTCCTGATCAAACAACTATTTCCGGTGTGTTCCTGAACCTGAACTGTAACCTGTTACTTCTCTAATAAGCCTCATAATCATGAGTTAATACTGTGATTATATAATTGATCATATGTTATACTAATTATAATAATCATAATCTGTGAGTTGTGTGTGGCCAATGCAATGAATTATCAAACCTAGCAGAGAAGTGGTGAGTGCCATGGGAGGGACCGTTGTTGTCAGAATTGGTAAAAAGGCTGGAGAGTGGTGGCATGTCTGACCTCTGCCTCACAGGAATAGGTCTTAGGCTGCTGATCTAGATCTTGATCCTCCTTGCCCCCTGTGAAGTTAGAGGAGGTCAGATGCCGCTTCCACAATGTAAAAGCGTGCATAATTACATTAGTCTAGTGAAGACAAGTGAGGAAAAAGGATACAGAAATGCAGTGGTATTGGATTATCATACAATTATTTTCTTGGAAGAACACTGGACCCAGTTTTATTGGTAGATATTAATCAAGAAGGTATGTAAACTATTAAAGAACAACATAATCTAGAATTTCATTTTTCAAAAAGAGCTTTGTCCTGGCACATAGTTAAGATACTTGGAAACAGTTTGATCCCTTTAAGGCTGTTCTTCAAGCTTTGTAACGTGGAACCAGTGAAGCGTTTCCAGCTGCAGTCCAGTTGATTCTGACTCCAGGCACCCCATGTGCATCAGAGTAGAACTGTGCTCCATAGGTTTTCCAATGGCCAGGCCTTTCTTCCTGAGTGCCTCTGAATGAATGCAAAGGTCCAACCTTTCAGTTAGCAGCCAAGTGCCTTAACTACACCACACAGGGAATCCAGAGCAGCCTTTAGTCTAGAGCTAATTTGGCCTCATTACTGAAGCAGCCCCTTTTGGGTACTCTACCAGATAAGCATGCATTAGGGGGTTACTCCATTCTGGGAATTAAGAATGTGAAGTATTCGTGGCCCTCCCTGTGTGAGCTTTGTTCCCTCCACTCCTTTGGGTGGGTCTTTACCAGAGCTGAAGACTTGAGGCGGATCCTCTGCAAATTTCTGGAGCTCGCTTGCTCTCTGTGCAGCCCTCTCTGCTCTGGCACTCTGCCCAGTGAACTCAATTGTGTTGGCCTCTCCAACTCCACTTCCTCAACTCAGGGAGACCACTGGGCTCTGCCTGGAATCCTTCCCTGGGCTTTGGTCTGGAAACTTTCCAGGCAGTTAGTGGGGGGCAATTGTAGGGCTCCCCTTGTTTGTCTCCCCTCTTGTTGGGATCACTGTCGTGTACTACTTGGTGCCCAATATTTGAAAACCTTTGTGTTTTTTTTTCTCGGTTTTCAGTTGCAAATCCAGTCCCCATCTGTTCTGTGTTTTCCCTGCCTCTCTCATCATGGAAGGCAGTGGTGCCATGGTCTCTGTTAGCCAGGGTCCCTGGCTACAGTGAGCTCCTACTGACCTATGATGGATACAATGTGGTAGCAGGAAATATGCCTGTGCTGTTATAAGTCACTGAGATTTGGGGATTCTTTGTTATAGCAGCATAACACAGCCCAGTGCTTCTCAAACTTGAATGTGCACATGAAACATCTGGGGATCTTGTTAAAGTGTAGATTCTAATTCAGGAGGCCTAGAACTGTGTTTCTCACAAGGACCCAGGTAATGTGGGTGCTGCTGGTCTGGGGCCACACTTTGAGTTAGTGAGGATCTAGCCCATCTCAAGTGACACCCAAACCTAGGCCTATCAGACTCCCTGATTGGATAAAGTGGAATTCAAGAAGGTATGGGGCATGGATGGGATCTGACTATCAGATGATGTAGGAGAGGAAGGCAGGGCCTAGTGAGTTCTGTTCATCCTCATATTCTCATATTCCTGGTACCTAGAGCAACACCAAGCCCAGAGGAGATGCTCAACAAATGTTTGAGAACCTAGAAGAGCCTGGAGGGGGAAATTGCAGAGTGAGGCAGAGGAAAAGCTAGTGGTCAGGCTTGTCTGGAATATAGCACATGGATTCATTTGCCTACCACCGGACAGTCATGCTTAGCTCAATGCTATGTCCTGCTGCACACTTGGGTACTTTAAGAGCAATATGCCCCCAACAGACTCATTACTTTCCCCTCAGTCACTTGTCTCCTTCTTTCTCTTCTTTTTCTGTTGATGGTACCATCCTTTTCAGATCTCTAGATGTGTCATTTTCTGCTTAACCAGTGACTTCCCATCACACTTAGAATAACGCCCAAAGCCCACTCAGTAATGCCCAAAGCCCACTCTGCTTCCCTCTCTGACCACCTGATTCCATGGATCCTCTAGCCAAATTGATCATGGTCCAGCTTCAGGGCCCCTGTGCTGGTGCTGTCTGCCAGGAATACCATCTTGGAGCTCCTTGACTGACTTTTTCCCACCTCCTCAGAGACCTCATCGTTTCCCACCCATGAAGCTCTTCTTCCTTCCCTTCACTGCCTTGAGTGCTTCACCACCACATGACTGGGTTTTATTTTCTTCACAGCACCTTTCACTATCTGAAATTAACTCATTTATTTATCTGTTTACATTGTTTTCTGTCATCCTCTCCCCAGTGAAAGCCTTATGACACAAGGATCTTTACTGTTTTGCTCAGGCTCTGTCCCCAGAGCTTAGAACCATGCTCAATAACTATATTCAGCGAATGACTGAATCCAGGCCCTGAAGAAACACCTGTGCCCTGGCAAGGGTACACCATGAATTGGCTGGCCCTCTCTACAACCAAGTACTTCAGTTTCAAACTGCTTGTTAGTCAATTAGAAGAACATTTTCACTCAGGCCCAAGTGAACTAGGGTGAGATGGGTGAGGTAATAGGTGCCTTAGAGTGGTGACCTCGTTATGTCTGTGATATAGTTTACATTTACATCAAATTGGCTTATGGCACTGTTCAAGCCACACAGAGTCCTGTGGTCTCTGGTGATGCAGGTTCTCAGACCATCCAGCTAAGAAATGACATTTGTTCCAATATCTACTGGGTGCTAACTCTGAGCCAGGCCCTGTGCTAGGAAATGGATTGCAAATAAGCCTCTCTTGGGGGCCAAATCTAATTTTTCTCACAGTGACTACTAAGTCTGCTGAGAACTCTGAGACTGCATCCCAGATCAGTATGAAAAAGTGTAGTGGTTGATTGTTGATGTCTGCATGGTGGCAAATAGTAGGCGGTGGCAACTCTCAGGCTCAACTCTGGAAAGAGCTTACCTGAGGTGATGGCATGGTCTCTCCGTAAGTTTTCGCCCTCGTTCTTCAGGGATGTGATTTCTGAGTTCTGCTCGGACAGGGTCTGGCATAGCACCTGGCTGTAGCCTTTCTGTAGGGCAGTGATCTGTGGGAGAAGGGAACACACAGTCAGAGGGGGCCAATCCAGGACTGCAAGGCAGACCAGTGCTTCTTCAAAGATAGAAAGTTTCTGATGATTGATCTTTGACTGGGGTGTTGGGGAAGCTAAACATTTTAGTTTGAATTAATAGAAGAGAAAAAAATCTGGTCCTTCAGTGACTGCCACTTGTTATGTAATCAAAACATAAATCTGCTTTGTTCCCACAAAGGCACCCAGACCCTGTTGCTACTGGGTATGCTTGACTCTTTAATGTGCATTCTGATGACTTTGGACTCTCAGCCCAGCAGTTGGTCCAGATCTGACTTGACACAGAGCAAAGTTCAAGAGAGGGTGACACATTATAAAATTAATTCAGCTGCTAACAGAAAAACTGCAGTTTCGAGTCTACCCAGAGGTTCAGAAGAAAGGCCTGCTGATCTACCCTGAAAACTCAGCCAACGAAAGCCCTAGGACCATAGCTCTACTGTGACACATGAGATCATCATGAATCAGAATCTACTTGATGGCAACTGTTGTTGCTTTTTTTTTGAACTCGTTAATGATAACAATAGCTCATATCTCATAGAAGGAGTCCTAGTGGCACAATGGTTGAGGGTTTGGCTGTTAACTGAAAGACTGATGGTTTGAACCCACCAAGCAAGCAACCCTGTGGGAGAAAGTCCTGGCAATCTGATTCTGTAGCTTGCAGCCTAGAAAACCCTATGAGGCAGGCCTACTCTGTCATGTGGGTGTAAGGCGTTGACATAGACTGGATGGCACCCAACAACAACAAGTTATCTCATGCAACACTGCACGGCTTGCTAAGCCTGCTCACAGATGCTGCTTCTTCATAGATCCTCCCAGCAGCCCCAAAGGCAAACAGCAATGCTCCCATTTTGCAAGTGAGCAAAATAAGACTCAGAGAGGTGAGGCCACTTGCTCAGGTTCACACAGCTAATCAGAGGTGGAGGCACTATTCAAATGTAGTCTTCAGTTGCCTAGTTCCAGTTCTTTCCACCTGACCACATGGCTCTGGGAACCAGCATGGAAAGCTGGAGGCTGTAAAGCACAGCACAGACTCAGGAGCCTGACTGTCACCCTTCAGATTCTGTCTTTCTCACTGACAGGCTGCGAGAACATAGGGAAGACACCAGATTGGTGCATTTTCTCTATCTGCAAATAGGGTGATGGTGGTGGTGTTAGCTGCTATCGAGTCAGCCCCAACTCATGGCGACCCCATGCACAAGGGAACGGACACTGGCAGTCCCAGTGATCATGGGGATGGTTCCTGCACTGTCCCCATGATCAGCTGTTGATTGGACAGCTGTCCATAGGGCTTTTGTTGGCTTATTTCCAGAAGTGGATCACCAGGCTTTCTTCCTGGTCTGTCTGAGTCTGGAAGCTCTGCTGAAACCTGTTCAGCATCACAGCAACACAGCAGCCTGCACTGACAGATGGGTGTTGCATATGAGGTGCTTTGGCAGGAAATCAAAACTGTGCCTCTTGCGTGGAAAGTGAGAATTCTGCCACTGACCCACCAGTCCCTCACACTCCCCTCTTTCAGCCTCATAGTGTTGGGTGGTTGGTGTTGTGTGTTGTTGACTTTGTTCCAATTCATAGCGACCCCATGTAGGATGACCTCATAGTGTTTTCTAGGGGAAGCTCTGGTGGCGTAGTGCCTAAGGCATTTGACTGCTGATCAGAAGGCTGGAGGTTCAAACCCACCAGCCACTCCTCAGAAGGAAGATGGGTAATCTACTTCCATAGAGATACGCCTCAGAAACCCAAGGAGGGGTCGCTATGAATCACAATCGACTTGACAGCAGTGAGTTTGGTTTTGGTTTAGTCACTATAGGAGCAGATTGCCAGGTCTGTCTCCCACAGAGTGGCTGGGTGGCTTTGACCTGCCAACTTTTTGGTAAACAGCTGAGTTCTTAACTATTGTGCTATCAAAACAAAAAACAGCCAAACCCACTACCATCAAGTCAATTCTGACTCATAGTTGCTCCATAAGGCAGAGTAGAACTGCCCCATAAGGTTTCCAAGACTGTAAATCTTTATGGAATCAGACTGCCATATCTTTTTGCCATAGAATTGCTGATCCTTTAGTTAGCAGCCAAGCTCTTTAGCCACTGCACCACCAGCACTCCTGTCATGTTGCTGGGGCTCCTTTTTAACCTCACAGTGTTGCTAAGAAGGATTTTAATAAGTTAATATAAGTAAAAGTGCTTAGAACAGTTTTGGCACATGATCTCCAGGTCTTAGCTGGGATTCTCCCTCACCTGACTATCCATACTGTGTTTCAGCTTCATCTTCTCTTTTCTGTCTCAATGAAGGGAGATTGGTAATATTTCTGTGTGCATTTATAACCCTGATCTAGGCTCACTTAAACACAAGTGCGCTTTACCAAGAAATAAAAAAAATCCTTGTTATTTGTTATATCATGTCATGGGCAGAGAATAAAAAATGATGTTGTTGTTAGGTGTTGTCAAGTCGTCTCTGAGTCATAGTGACCCTATGCACAAGAGAACAAAACACTCGTCCTGTGCCAGCCTCACAATCCTTGCTATACCTGAGGCCATCATTGCAGCCACTGTGTCAATCCATCTCATTGAGAGCCTTCCTCTTTTTCGTTGACCTTCCACTTTACCAAGCATGATATCCTTCTCCAGGGAATGGTCCCTTCTGACAGCATGACCAAAGTAGGTGAGACGAAGTCTGGCTAGTCTTGCTTCCAAGGAGCATTCCAGCTGCACTTTTTCAGGACAGATTTATTAGTTCTTCTGGCAGTCCATGGTACCTTCAGTATTTTTCACCAGCACCACAACTCAAAAGCATCAACTCTTCTTGCGTCTTCCTTGTTCATTGTCTAGCTTTCACATGCATATGTGGTGACTGAAAATACCATGGCTTGGGTTAGGTGCACTTTAGTCTTCAGAGAGACATCTTTGCTCTTCAGCACTTTAAAGAGGTCTTTTGCAGCAGATGTGTCCAGTGCAATACGTCATCTGATTTCTTGACTGCTGCTTCCATGGGTGTTGATTGTGCAATCAAGTCATATGAAATCTTTGACTTCCATCTTTTCTCCATTTATTGTGATGCTGCTTATTGGAGGGGACCATATGGAAGGAAGATGGGGCAATCTACTTCTGCAGTGACACTGCCTCGGAAATCCAAGGAGGGGTCGCTGTGAGTCGGGCCTGACTCGATGGCACATAATAACATCATATTCAGAGAATGCGGCTAAGGGCATCATGCCACCAGGTGGCGCTTATGGTCTTTGTTTTTGGTTTCTATCCCTGAAAATCCTGTGGTTGTTGCCGTGATAGAATTAACATAACCATCAAGGTTTCAAAATGTATATGGCTGATTTCATGCATCATCATGATTCAGATTCTCTAACATTCGGGGCAACTCTACCTACTTTTCTCCTGGGGCCTCTTGAGATCCTGGGGATGTCAGTGGGGGAGAGGGTGTTATGTTAGAACAGGAGCGGGCACAGGTCATTCTGGACCCACCAGTCCCACAGCCATCTTTTGCATGTTCATTCTTGGAAATGTTGAGTGAAAAAAATTCTCTCACTTCCTCCTTTCTCTGTGTGGGAAATGCAACTTTCCCATAAAAGGTAGTGGGGGTTTTTAAAAAGCATTTTAAAAATGTTTAATGCTTTTGTTTGTGTGATACCAGAGGCACAACACAATGAGATGAACTTCCAGAAGGGATAGGAAAGCATATGCCCGCCCTGACCCCACCCGACTCCAGTGCTATCTGGCAGACAGAAACAATTTCAATACAAGTACTGGAGCTTCAGGATTACAGACCAGAGGACAACTCTCAATAAACAGTCTTTAAACCTCTTCATTACTTTCACTACTAAAATAAATATCCATATGGTCTTGGCATAAATCCCAAGATGTTTAATGCCTGTTATACTGTGTAATAGAGTGAGTGGTGGATCATGAGGCAGTTAATCGTGCTGGGAGGAGTGATAGCTTCCATAAATAATTTGGCTGCCGGTAATGATGATAAAATAATAATAATAATATTCAAGATAAGAATTTGGTGGCAAGATCATCATTTACAAAGGCGGCGGCGAGCACAGGAGGCAGGCCTGTTTTAGTGGTACTGCCGCAGAACCAGGATCTCTGAGAGCCAGTTGTTAGGCTTTCAGGGGACCCGGGAGGACGTATCAAGTCCTCAGAATGATAAGTCAACCCACCATGTGGCTTATACTTCTGGATGAATGTTCAGCCAACAACAGAATATTTAAGGAATTCAAATGGAGCAGATGAAACTCGATTTGGGCAATGGCAGCCTCCAGTTCAGAGGCATCTTGATACACAATACCCTCTCAGTTACAAGTGAAGACCAAGGGGGAGGTGACAGTGTGATGACTCTGTGTAACTATTCCTAAGTAATATCTTTGTAAGGAGCCCTGGTGACACAGTAGGCTAAAGGGCTCGGCTGCTCACTGGAAGGTCAGCAGTTTGACCCCACAACTGCTTTGTAGGAGAAAAGCTCTGGCAATCTGCTCCCCCCAAAGCTTAGAGCGTAGGACACCCTGGGGGGCAGTTTTCCTCTGTCTCACAGGGTCATCTTGAGTCAGAGTTGACTGGACAGCGCCCAATCACATGAATATCTTTGGAAAAAGTAATTTCTCAGAGGTCACTAGCTACTTTAAACAAGCCTCAAGATATGACTTGCTGACAGAGACTCAAAGGTATGGGGGATTCTTTGTCCTTGTCCCCGGGCCGGATAAGCATGTTCTTTTTGCACGGGAGGGCTCTGAAATGGGAGAATAACTGAAAGGGAGGTTGCTCCCTCTGAATGCGAGAGTGGGTTCAGGTCGGAAAAGCTGTTCGTCGGCAGGTTCCCGCGTGTCAGGCCCCCATGGGCAGGGGTAGCTCCCCCAGGGCCTGCTCCTTTGGTTGTTCTTTCCAAAACTGGTCTGAAGGAGTGTCATTCATTTATTTAGATTTCAGGTATGTATCCACTTGCTTATTCGTTTATATTCCATCTTCCTCGCTGGAGCATAACTCAGGGAAGGAAGGGTCATCCTTGCTCAATGCTGAGTTCCCAGAGCCCAGAACAGGAAACGGCAGAGGGTAGGCACTCAAAAGATATTTGCTTATTTGAATGAACAGATGAATGAGTGAATGAATGAAAGAATGAACGGCCCAAGCACGTCAGGATTTAGCATTGTACATAAAAACAAATCCACGGCCATCAAGTATATCCTGACTCACAGTGATCTTGTAGGACAGAGCAGAACCGCCCTGTAGCGCTTCCAAAGTGGTAATCTTTACGGAAGCAGGCTGCAGCATCTTTCTCCCACAGAGTGGCTGGTGGGTTTGAAGTGCCAGCCTTTTGGTTAGCAGCTGAGTGCTTTAACCACTGTGCCACCAGGGCTCCTAGCATTATTTATAGAGGCCAACAATCACCAACAGTCAATTTCTTTTTTTTTTTATCATTCTTGTTGAGATATCATTTATGTATAACAGCTATGCCCAATTTAAAATAATTCTTTAAAAAATAATAATAAAAAAAAGAAGTTTGGATCTATTTTAAGAGCAAGGAGCATGACTGCTGACTGGTAAATCCAGGTGGAGAATTTGTGATGAATGAAATTCTACGAGTGAGCCTTCAGGATGTGGGAAAAGGTCTCAGTGGCTGGAACACAGGGCATTCCTTCTCTCTCCAGCTAGCGGCCCACTGCTGGGACTGGGTGGGTGGTAGAGGCAGTAACACAGAAGTGATGGGGTTGGGGGGAAATATAAAGTGGGTATGAGAGCAAGGGGTCCGCAATGAGGCAGATCTGAGTTCAAATTCAAGCACCACCTTTAACTTGCTGTGCAAACTTAACAAGCTACTGGGTGTCCTGGAGCCTGCTTCAGCCTCCTCATCTGTAAGATGGTATGTCTCAGAGGGTTGTGAAGTCAAAATGAGTTAAAGCCTCTAAAGCACTTTCCTGGGCTTGCACTTGGTAGGTATTTAATAATGTTAGTATTGTTCTTATTAAGGAGCTCTGGTGGTGCAGTGATTAAAGCATTTGGCTGCTAAGCAAAAAGTCAGCGGTGAGAACCCATCAGCCACTTCAAGGAGAAAGATGACGCAATCTGCTTCCATACAGATTTATAGCCCTGGAAACCCTATGGGGGCATTCTGCCCTGTTCTGTACAATTGCTATGAGGTGAAACTGACTCAATTGCAGTGGGTTTGGTTGTTTTGGGGCATCGTTATCACTCTTCTGTCAGTTTGTTGTGCTGTGGTGGCCTGCATGTTGCTATGGTTCTGGAAGCTATGCCACCAGTATTTCAAATCCCAGCAGGATCACCCATGGAGGAAAGGTTTCAGTGGAGCTTCCAGACTAAGATAGGCTAAGAAGAAAGAACTGGTAATTTTATAAAAATAAAACCAAACCAAAACCAAGCTCACCGCTGTTGAGTCGGATCTGACTCATAGCCACCCTTCCTGGGGTTTCTGAGGCGGTATCACTACAGAAGTAGATTGCCTAATCTTCCTTCCGAGGAGTGGCTGGTGGGTTTGAACCACCAGCCTTCTGGTTAGCAGTCACATGCCTTAGTAGGCAATTGAAAACCTTATGGATCATAGCAGAACATTGACGTGCTTGCATTGGACATATTATCAGGAGGGACCATCACTGGAGGCAGGCATCGTGTTTGGTGAAGTAGAGGGTCAACGAGGGTGAGGGAGAGCTTTGAGATGCATTGGCACAGTAGCTACAATGATGCACTTAAACGTGCCGGAGAGTGTGAGGAGCATATAGGACACGGCAATGCTTTGTTCAGTTGTACGTAATGTCGCCATGAGTTGGATCGACTGGACCGGCAACTAACAACAATTGTTTTTCTTAGGCCAGGAGTTTGTCGGGTTTCTAATCCCTGTCCATGACCATCATGCTTGCCTTGGGGGGACCCCAGGTCTACCCTGACAGCTGTCACCCTGCTGCTGTGACTCTGAGGACATGAATAACGTGTCTCAGTTCTACCTGGCCCTTCAAGCTCTGGATCTCTCTCTGTTTGGCATTGATGGCTCCATCAGGAATCTGAGGCCCCTGTGATACCACCCGTTCATTTGGCCTGGGGGTGGCTGCCGCCGACAGTTTCTGAGTCATTTCAGCCACTTCGTTCCGCAGTTTGGCTATCACGGTGTCTTTGTATTTGGATTCAATTTCAAAATCTGAGAGGCGGTTGACTTCTTTTCCCAGTAGCAGAATTATTTCATCCTGGGTGGAGATGAGATAGGAAGTTTATTAGGTGTGTGTTCAGGTGCAATGAAAAATACAGGCTTTGAAGGAGTCCATGGGGGGGGCACAAATGGTTAAGTGCTCAACTATTAACTGAAAGATTGGCAGTTCAAACCCACCCAGAGTGCCTTGGAAGAAAGGCCTGGCAATCTGCTTCTAAAAGGTCACAGCCTTGAAAATCTTCTGGAGCGAAGCTGCACTCTACACACATGGAGTCACCCTGAGTTGGAATCGACTTGACAGCAGTGGGCTATATAGGCTCCTGTCCTCATTCCCCTGAGTTGATTCTGACTCGTGGTGACCTCATGTGTTGCTGAGTAAAACTGCTCTGTAGGTCTTCTTGGCTGTAATCTTCATGGAAACAGATTGCCAGGCCTTTCTCCTGCAGTACTTCTGGGTGGGTTTAAACCACTCACCTTAGGTTACTAGCTGAGTATGAACCATTTGTGCTGCCCAGGGACCCAGATAGGCTCCTGTGGCGATGCAGTGGTTAAAGCATTTGGCTGCCAACCAAAGGGTCAGGGGTTTGAACCCACCAGCTGCTCTGCAGAAGAAAGATAAGGCAGTCTGCTTCCATAAAGATTTAGTCTTGGAAACCCTACGAGGGCAGTTCTACTCTGTCCAATAGGGGTGCTATGAATCGGAATCAACTGGATGACAATGGGTTTGATTTTGGTTTTGGTTTTAGAGGATGCTTATACCTCCCAGGTATTGAAACTCTCTTCTCCCCTAATATTCTTTCATATCGAGAATAACCATCCTACCTGGGAACTTTTGCTGCCAGAAAGTTTATTTATAATATTTTTTGGAATTAACTTACCGGGCCTCTGCCAGTGCATTGGAGACCTAGGAAAGGTAATTAGGCAAGAGTGTTGTATCTGACCACATTCTGACTGTAATGGGGACTCATTTAAAAACATTCCATACATTCTGAAATATTTCTTTCCCCTTTCTTCTCTTCCAGTACTCCCTGCCCCCTCTTGGTTTTTCACATAAAAATGTATCCCAAGCAGAGGAGCCTGAGAGTACACGAGAGAGGACGGTCGTCTATTAGTGTGGGCTGTGTTGACTGCAGGTTGGGGGGAAAAATTGCTGGCAGACTTTCCCCACAGGTATAATTACCCCAGTCCTCCACCTCTCCCAAGGGCAAAAACACTACAGCTAAAGAATCTGTTAGGTTTCCCCAAAAAAGGATATAAAAATAAATAAATAAAAAATCCCCAACGCTCTTCACCAGATGCCATCAATAAAATGTCAGGAAGGCTGAAAAAAGAAATTCTCCAGAGTGACAGAATTTCTGATTAAGTGCTTTTCCCCCCCTTTTTTTTTTTTGAGGTGCAATTCTTCTCATTAAAGTCTTATTTAAAGTCAGCAATTTGATGGCATTTAGTACATGCACAACACTGAGCCACCACCACCTCTACTGAGTTCCAGCGGGTTTTCACCACCCCAAAAGGAAACCCCCTTTAAGACCAATTGCTTTTAAAGGAGTCTCTGCCCTTCCAACAGTTCACTGGTTGGCATGAGGGAAATGGGTGGTTTCTAGGTGGGCCCACCGTGTGGGACGCCGCTGAATCAACCCCGTGATCTTCAAGCTTGCAATCTGAGGAAGCACAGAGTTTTGGTCATGTGGGAGCCCATTTGGTACTGCCCACTGTCACCAAGGATCTTTCCTTAGGTCCTTGTGAATGCCTATGGTGAACTTTCAGGGGACAGCCTCAAACAGATTTGGTATTCCCGAGCAGCCCCCTTCTCCACCCCATTTTGAGTTACCTAAAGCCATGTGCTCAGCCGGGTGCTCATTCATTATTCATGCAATAAGCATTCTTTGAGCACCTACTGTGTGCCCGGCCCTGTCCTGGTGCTGGAGTACAGAGAAACCTCAGGGGTGGTGTACAGCTGCTGTCTCTGCCATTCTGGTGAGGACTCTGGGCCCTTCCTTGGGGAGCCACCCCACCATTCCATGCAGTCTTGGTAGGACTGTCAGTCGTGTGCCCTGCTCCTTCCTGTTCCACCTCCCATGTGCATGTGATCCAGTCTGGCCAATTGGAGTTTTTCTGAGATTCCATATATAGATTACAAGAAAGAAATAGTTTCACTTCCTTTTGGATCAAAAGTTTTAAATTTATAGGTTTGGGGTTGCCTGTGGTCATCTCTCACAACACTTTAAGCCTGCTTGCTGGGAAGGCAAACTACAAAAGAAAGAGAATTGAGAGACTGGTAATGAGAATTCTGATGATATCATCTAGGCTTCTGGATCTAACCATGCCTGAAGCTAGCCATTCCTTAAATTTTCCAATAATATTATGAGTCAATATATGCTTCTATTAATTAATTATTATTATTATTTTAAAGCCTATTTGTTTATTGCCATTTTCATCCAAAAGAATACTGACAACTTAGGACATTAATGGCTCATAAATAGAAACAATAATAAGTGTAGTTATATTGCATTTCAGTTTAACAACTGCAGTGGATTTAAAAAATAGCTACAAATACTTGGCAGTTTCTACCATCAAGTGGTGAAATCTATTTCCTCACGCCTTAAATTTGGACTAAGGAGCTGTGGTGGTGCAGGGGTTAAGGCATTTGGCTGCTAAACAAAATGTTGGTGGGTTGAGCCACCAGTCACTCCATGGAAGAAAAATAAGGCAATTTGCTTCCATAAAGATTTATAGCATTGGAAACCCAATGGGGGTCACTATGAGTTGGAATCGACTCAATGGCGGTGAGTTTGGTTTTTTGGTTTAAACCTGGACTGGCCCTGTGATTTGCTTTGATGACTGAAAGAGTGGGTGGGAAGGATGCCAGACTATTCCGAAGCCCCCTCTCAAGAGGTAATATACTTTCTACCCTTACTCGCTGGGAGCCCTGAGGACTGAAAAGGGATATGCAGAGAGATGACCGCCACTCTAGGCATCCTGGCTGAGATCCCAGATGAGGATCTCACATGGGGCCATCTTAGACCACTAGCCTCAGCTGAGCCACCAGCTGACTGTAGTTGCATGAATAAGATAAGAATACACCAGCAGAAGAAACTTGCAAGTTAACCTATGGAATGGTGAGACATAAGCCACTATATTAAGGCAATAAGCTTTGTTACACAGCAGTGATACCTGATACAGCATCTTTCTTAAGTTCTTACCACTGCTATAGCAAAAATACCACAAGGGGGTGGCTTTAACAAACAGAAATATTCTCACAATTTAGGAGGCTGGCAGTCTGAATTCAGGTCACCAGCTCTAAAGGAAGGCTTTCTTTCTGTGTCAGCTCTGGGGACGGTCCTTGTCTTTCTTCAGCTTCTGTTCTGGCCCTTGGTGATTCTCATGTGGCATCTACCTTCTCCCACCTTCTCCCTCCTTGCTGTCTGTGCGGTGCCTACACTGCTCCTTTCATATCTCAGAAATGACTGGCTTAAAACACACCCTGCCTTGGTAGAGCCTCATTAATGCAACACAGAAAGCCCAAGTCCCAGAGGCATTATATCCATATAGGGGTTAGTATTCCAATACAAATTATGGGGAATGAAGTGTGGAGGGGGGCACAGTTCAATTCATAACAGCACTGTAGTCTGGCTTCTCACCTTAGAGCAGTCAAAAAGTCTGGACACCTGTTTCAGGATCACTTGGAACCTGAAGTTACAGATTCTCAGGCATATCACACCATGTCTAACCAGAACCCCAGATAGTTCTGGTCCTGACAGATTCCATGGACCACTGCTGGCTCAAGGCCTAATCCTTAAGGAAGCAAGCTATTATTGGACTGCTTCTTTAAGAATAATTTCCAGGCTATGGATCAACTGGGAAAAACTGACTTGGATCCTTCCCAGGACTGCCTGCATTCCCTTGTTCTGACTCTGTTCCTGATTCACTCTCTAATCTATTGGGTTCTTTCACAAGTCTCTCTCCTTCACATCCAGTCCTCTGAACTCAGTTCTCCCTTCCTCCTCGAAGGAGGAAATGTGTTTTCCATCACTTATGGTTGGCCGTGTGATAGTTATTGTGTGGTAGTTAGAAGTACCAGCTTCAAAGTTAACCAGCCCTGGGCTTGACTCCCAATACTGTTCTTTGCACTGTGCAGCCTTGGGCAAACTACTTGACCTCTCTGAACTTCAGTTTTCTCATCTGTACAGTGAGAACGATAAAATCTCTTTGAAGACTGGAGAGATTAAATGAGCTGTCATGCAGTGATCTACTTAATATGGCCCTTCTATCTGTAGTCCTCCATTTTGTGATGTGTTGTAATCCTAGCCTCTATGCCTGTGGTTATAGTCTTATTTTAGAGTGAGTTGTACATTATGTTAATGAGGTGGGATTAGGGTAAGATGTATCTTGAGTCACCATCTTATTAGAGGATGTGACAGTCACTGCCCTTCACTGCCTACTGAAGTCATGCCCTTATTTGAGTCACATCTTTTATCTTACAAGAGGTAAAAGGAGAAAGAAGTAAGCAGAGAATGGGGGCAGGGGTAGATAACTACCACCAAGAAGAAGAGATAGGAGCAGACCACATCCTTTGGACCCAAGGTCCTTGTGTTAGGAACTTCTTAGATCCAGGAGACAGCAAGAGATGATGAGAAGCAGCAACAGCTGAAGCAGCAGAACTGGAGGCCAGCAGGAGATGGGGTGGTGGGCTTCCTGGCCGATGGAGTGAGACAGCTGAGTACCTTCAGGCAGGAGGCTTGCTGGTGGAGTAAGATGCCTCCAGGCACTTATTGGTGGAGCTGAAGAGCTTTGTAACACTTGCCCCAAATGGGTAGAGGCTGGGCTGGCTCAAGAGGCCCAAGGAACCAAGGAGCCAAGGTTCTGAGGGCCAAAGAGAGGCCTGCCTACAGGTATGGCTGAGACAAGTTGTCCTGACTGAAGGACTGTATCCTGAGTTGTTTCTGATCCTGAATTGTAACCTGTTACTTCCCTAATAAACCTCATAATCATGAATATGGTCTGTGAGTTCTGTGTGGCCATTGCAAAGAGTTATCGAACCAGCAGAGAAGTAGAGAGTGTCATGGGAGGGATAGCTGGTGTCAGAATTGGTAAAAAGGTTGGAGAGAGAAGGTGATTCTGTCTCTACCTCGTGAAGTTAGAGAAGGTCATACCTCCACCATGCCATTCTTACAGAGCTAATGAATGTGAAGTGTATAGGACACAGTCTAGCACATAGTAGGTGCTCACTAATAGTGGTTGTGGATGTTGTTGTTATTTGGTAAAAATGAGCAAACCCTTGGTTGAATCTCCTGGGAATAAGAGGTGGTTTCTTAGAAACAGGGAGCTTTGGTGGCACAGTGGTTAAGCACTCAGCTGCTAACCAAAAGGTCAGTGGTTCAGACCCACCAGCCGCTCTCTGGGAAAAAGATGTAGTAGTGTGCTTCCATAAAGATTACAGGCTTGGACACCCTGTGGAGCAGTTCTACTCTGTCCTATACAGTTGCTATGAGTCAGAATTGACTCAAGGCAATGGTTTTTTTTCTACTCGCTTGGAAGAAAAACAACAAAAAAGGGCAATTCCGAGCCACAGAGAACTTTGAGGGGCAGAGGCAAGTCCCTCCGCTTGCTGCTGCAGCTCTGTCCCTCCCCTGAAGCCCCTCACCTTATCCTGCTGGGCCGGGTCCTGATCCGCATAAATTTCCCTGGGAAGTCCTGCCACAGAAAGGCCCTCCGACACTCCTTGTCCAGGCAGATCCACAGGATTGGTCCACACTAACACACAACATCAACAGAGGGCACAAAGTGAGTTTCCCTAAGGCCTTGAAGAATATTTCCAGATTAACCTTCATATTCTTTTCCCCTGGCAATTTACATCTTACATAACTTTAAAATTACAAAGTGGTATATGTTCATTGAAAAACAAAGAAAGCATTATAGCAATATTGAAAAGGGGAAGCCCTGCCTCATTCTTCTTCTCCTGTGCTAACTGCACTGTTGTTTGGTTTGATGGGCCTCTTTCCAGATTTTTTTCTATGCTACATATTAGCTGATGACTTTAGGCAGGTCATTTAATCTCCCTAAACCTTAGTTTTCACATATATAACATGGTGACACAAATAGTCTCTATTATAAAGGGCTATTGTGAGGATTAAATGAGACAATTATTCAGAGCAGGAGTTGGCAAACTATAGCCCTGGAGCCAAATCTGGCTCATTCCTTGTTTTTTTAAATAAAGTTTTATTGTAACATTCATTTGTTTCCATATTGTCTATGGCTCCTTTCACACTACAACACAGACTTGAGTAGTTGCAACAGAGACTGCATGGACCACAAAACCTAAAATATTTTCGATCTGGGTCTTTGCGGAAAAAGTTTGCTGGTTCCTAACATAAAGCATTTAGCTCTAAATGCTAGCTGTTTTTACTGTAATTATGTAATTTTAAATAATTAATGAAAAATTAAAATGGAATTATATTACAGATATTCTTTCCCAATTCGTCTAATTTGTCAGTGTAGCAAAGACATCTTCCCATGTCAGTACTTGTAGCTGTCCCACGTTCTTTGTAATGGTAGCATTGCAGTCTATGGTACAAATGCACCAGAATTTATTTAACTAGATCCACTTTATGGGCAGTTAGGCTTTCCTGATTTTTTTCTTATTTACCCACAATGTTTCAAGAGCTATTTATATGACTTTTTAGGGTTTCTGCTGTCAGTATGTTTGGAAACTCCCATCATACATCATAGCAAACATATTACAACTCATTCACATCAACACTGAATACATTGTGTGTGTGTGTTGTGTAGAAATTTTGAAAGAATTTCTAGAATTCTGCTTTTGAGATTCCTCAACTCCAACTAGCACATTTTAAATTTCTACTATGATGTCTGAGCAGCAGGACTATATGAAGAAGAATGCAACATCAGGATTGGAGGAGAATTTATAAACAACCTGAGACATGCAGGTGACACAATCTTGCTGGCTGAAAGTGAAGATGACTTGAAGCACTTACTGAGGAAGATCAAAGACTACAGTCTGCAGTATGGATTATACCTCAACATGAAGAAAACAAAAATGCTCACAACTGGACCAATAAGCAACATCATGATAAATGGAGAAAAGATTGTGGGTGTCAATCAATACCCATGGAAGCAGCAAGTAAAAAATCAAATGATGTATTGGATTGGGCAAATTTGCTGCTAAAGATCTCTTTAGTGTTAAAAAGCAAAGATGTCACTGAGGACTAAGGTGAGATTGACCCAAGCCATGGTATTTTCAATCACTTCATATGCATGCAAAAGCTGGACAGTGAATAAGGAAAACCAAAGAAGAATTGATGCCTTTGAGTTGTGGTGTTAGTGAAGAATACTGAAAATAGCATGGACTTCCAGAAGACCAAACAAATCTGTCCTGGAAGAAGTGCATCTGGAATGCTCCTTAGATGAGAGAATGGCCAGACTTTGTCTCACCTATTTTGGTCATGTTATTAGGAGGGATCAGTACCTGCTCAGTAAAGTAAAGGGTCAGTGAAAAAGGGGAAGACCCTCAATGAAATGGATTGACATGGTGGTTGCAAAGATGAGCCCAAGCATAGCAAGGACTGTATATAAGCCCAAGCATAGCAAGGATGACACAGGACTGGGCAGTGTTTCATTCTGTTGTACACAGGGTCGCTATGAGTCAGAGCAGACTGAACAACATCTAACGTGAATAACAACATGATTTCTGGGCAATCATTGCTCACTCTGTCTTCTTGTGAAGTGAGAGATTGAACCAACTATTTTAAAACATTAATGAATGTTTCCATGAACAATTAATGAAGTCTGCATCATCACATTTGTGGATATTTATTTAATAACTTATTTGTTTTTGATTTTGCATTTTTCATTTATGTATTTTAGAGCCAATGATTTTTCTCCCCAGGTCTCAAAATTGTTTGCAGGCCCTGGAATGGCTAGTGGACATAGGCAATGGCCCATGGAGGCTGGTGAAAGCGTGGCCTTGAAAGCTGCCATGACCAGGCCTGGCTGTCATGTTTCCAGGGGCCACAGAGGAAAATGTGCTGAACTCTCAACCCTCCCTTGTTGTTTCTGCTTTGTACAGGGGTGAGTCTCTTCTGTGTCCTTATAGGCAAGAAACCAAGCCAGTCAAACAAAACTCTTCAGAAGAAGAAATGAGAAAACCCTTTCTCAGTTAGAACAAAGTCTTTTACCCTACAGTGTCAAATGTATTCAAACTCCTCCTTGAAGGTACTAGACCTTGGATCACGCTTTCTCCCTGCCTAGTGCCTTACCATGGCTTCCCATTGCTCCTTTTATGAGGCCTGGCTCCTGCTTTGCTCATCCTGGAGCTCATCTGCCATCCAACCTGACCATATCCTGGCACTCACCACCCACCACAGGGCCTTTGCACACACAGCCCCTTCCACCAACCACCACAGGGCCTTTGCACCTGCTGCTCCCTCCCCTTCTTCATTGGTGAATGTTAACATGCCTGTCAGGGCTCAGATTAAGTGTTACTCTCTTGGGGACACCTTCTGGCCTCCCAACTAAGTCAGCTGACCTACAGGTACCATGTACTTGTCCTGCCTGGTGTTGTCATGGTTACTACATTGTAGTAGTTTTACTATGAATTTTTTTAGTTAATGTTTGTCTCAGAGTTTGGGGACCATATCTCAGTTAGCTTACCACTAAGCTCATAACAAGTCTCGTAATTAATCCTGTTTTGGAGGTGTGCAGAGTGGAGCATCGTTACAAACAAACCTCCACTGACTGATGGGTCGTGGCACACGAAGTGCATTGACCAGGACTGGAACCTGTGTCTCCTTCATGGAAAGATAATCCTCTCATTGAACTACCGCTGCCCTCAACTGTCTGTGTAGAGGAGTGGGATTTGATCTGAGACTCCCTTTCCTTATAACTGGGCAGAGAGGTGCTAGGGGAGGTAGCCCTCACCCACCTCAAACTTCTCTGCTGGCTGCTATTATATCAAAAGAATCTAACAACCATGCACAACCAAACTGGCTTCACTCATTTAAAACAACCCTCTAGTTGCTGGATCCTTTGGAGGTCCCAGTGGGGAGGATTCTGAGTGAAGGTCTTGAAGGCCGTGGAGATGGGATGGCAGGAGTGGGAACAGAGGCACTTTAAGAGAGTGACGGGCAGCAGCAGTTATTTACCAAGTGATAGGGAAGCTGCTTTAATATTTTAACAACCATCTGGCTGTCCTGGTACTTATTAACTGATGACCAGTCCTCTCCAGGGCTGCATTTGGGCATGTGTGTACTTTAACTGTGTCAGAGTGTGACCTCTTTAGGATGTTGACTGGGTTTCTACGTACTATAGGATCCTTGGTGGTGCAATGGTTAAAGCATTCATCTGCCAACTGATAGGTCAGTAGTTTGAACCTACCAGCTGCTCCATGGGAGAAAAACGAGGCAGTTTGTGAATCCATAAAGATTTACAGCCTTGGAAATCCTATGTGGCAGTTCTACTCTGTCCTGTTGGGTTGCTATGAGTCGGAATTGACTTGATGGCAGTGGGTTTTTGGGTACATATTGTAAATTATACTTACATGTTAAATAACAATCATGGATAATAACAATTAACAATTTAACTTTTAAATATCATAGTTGTTGAGGATTTACTATGTGCAGGTTCTGTGCTCAGCACTGATGTTCAGGATCCCATTCATGTTCATAACAAAAGAGTGAGATGGGTATTATTACCGTCATCTCCATTTTACAGACAGGGAATCTGAGGCACAGGGACGTCAAGTCATTTGCCCAAGGTTATACTGCTGGCAAGTGGTAGAATCAAGATTTGAACCTGGTTTTGTCTGATTCAGAACCTATGCTCTTAACCAATATGCAGTGGATTTATTGAAGCAGAAAGATGTTTATGATATATCATTGAATTTAAAAAGCAAGTTACCAAGCAAGTTTAGATTCAAACTATCTCATTTTTGGGAAAAACTATGTGACAATCAGTACAATATTTTTAAAAAACTATCCCATGTATTCTCTGTTCTCGATAATTCTTTCTCCTGCACTGACAGTGAATTTATTTTAACGAGGGAGGAACAACTCAAAAAAGGAGGGTGGTAAAATCAATGCCACTGAACTGTACACATAGAAATTATTGAACTGGTGTATGTTTTGCTGTGTATATTCTCGGCAACAACAAAATTCATAAAACTCAAAGAAACAAACAAAAAACAAAGTGGAAAAGAGCCAGACATAAAAAACTATAAAATTCCATTTATATGACATTCTAGAAAAAACTATAAGGACAGAAGTCAGCTCAGTTGTTGCCGGAGGTTGGGGGAGACCTGACTATAAAGAGACATAGAAAGATTTTTTTTAAGAAGGACACGTTCTATATCTTGATTGTGTTGGTGGCTACACTAATGTGTATATTTGTCAAAACTCATCGAATTATTCACTTACAATGGTGAATTTTATTGTCTCTAAGTTATACTTCAGAAAACATAATTTAAACAATCTTTTAAAAAGACTATAATAAATAAAGCTGAAGCTATATTTCCTGTGGAAAGAGAAGGGTGAACACCACCCGGAAAAGAGGTTCTCTGCTGGGATTATTTTGTACCCAGGGGATATTTGGCAAAGTATGGAGACTGTTTTGAATGTCACAACTGGAGGTAGGGACAACTATTGGCATTTAGTGGGTGGAGGCCAGGGATACTGCTAAATATTTTACAGTGCACAGGACAGTCACTGACAATAAACAACCATATGGCCCAAATGTCAGTA